CAAGGGAGATGGTCGGTCAAGATCTGCCCCCGACCCGGCTCCGCGCGGATGCGGCTCCCAAGCCCTCGCCGCGCTGGCCAGGAGGGCTCAGTGCTGTCCTTGTGTGTCTCCCCATCAGCTCCGGGGTATCTGAGAGCAGGGAGAGCCCTGGGTGTGCAGCCAAACGGGCACACAGACCCTGCCCAGCTCCCATCTGGGGTCCATGTCTGGGGTGTGACAAGCCCAGGCAGTCTGCGAGCCAGCCTTGATTTAGGAGCCAAGGTTGTTTCTGGGCTAATAACAACAGATTTGGGAGAAGCTGCTTCCCAAGAGCCTGGTACCAGGACAGGCCCCTCTGGTGTCTCCAGCAAGTGTGGCCAGTCCCAGGCTCCCACTCCCTGGAGCCACGGGCAGCCCCACCGCAGGGTACGGCCGGGGAGCAGCTCCCAGCACCAGGATCTCCAGCCCACCAGCTCTCCCAGCAAGAAAAGGGATTGCTGAAACCTGGGGACAACCTCCTGGAGCTTCCTGAAAGGCTCAGCAGAGCCAGGCTGGTTTAAGGTGGGTGGGTTTGTACCCACAGAGACAGACCTGGCTTCACACGCTCTGCCAGTGGAACCAAAGCCTCGTTACTGCTCTGAAGGTGTTAATGAGCTGCACAGCCAGGCAGCTTCTGGTTCTCAAGCACCATCCTCTCCAAGGTGGCTGTGGACCAGGTGCTGAGCCACATCTTCAAAGTGGAGACATGGTAGCTGCCTAAAAAGGGCCCAGGGCAGGCAGATGGGGTGTCTCCAGCTGCAGTGCTTGGAGCAGCTGGGTGGGGAGCGAGCTGCTGGCCGTTGGGACGAGGTGACACCTCTGTGATCCTGTGGCTCAGCCCCTCTGCACATCCTATAAGCCACCGCGCTGGCAGAGCTCCCTGTTGTCACCAGGTCCTGCTCAACAGCGACCCAACAGCTCTCAAGCTCATCTGTTCTCTCTAGAGGGGCTCTTGTTTGTCTCACCCCCCCAGAACCGGCTGACACACGGGCTGTAGGGCTGGGTGGTGACATCTGGGTCCTGTGTGGGCTCATGGGGCACAGCAACCACCTCCCGGTGTCACATCTGTCACCCTGCAGCCCTCTGCCTGTCTCCTCTCTGTACCTCCTTCCACAGAGGGAAGAGGTTGTCCGTGCAGACACGTGTGAGGTTGAGGACTCTGAACCTGCACTAGTCTGAGAGTAAAAAGCTCCTGGGGAGAGAAGCAGCGAGCGCTTTTCCCCAGAGACACCCTCTGCCGGCACAGCGGGGAGGGCACGGAGGAGCCTGACAGCCTGGCAACACCAACACGTCTGTGGCAAGATCCCTTCCTTCCCCTGAGCCACAGAACCCCACCACCCCAAAGCACTGACCTTCTCTGGTGCCATGCTGGGACATTTCCAATTGTACAGGTAATACTGCAGGTTCCCGTCCCCAATCCCAAACTTCAGCTTCTCCAGGAAGGTTTTGTTTTCCATGAGATCCAGTGCATTGAAGACGTCGAATCCTTTCTGCACAAGCAAAAGACAAAGTCATCAGCTCCTCCTGCTTATCTGCTGGGTGATTCAGCCCATCCATGAGTTGCCTGCCCAGCTTTGCACCCCCAGAAGAAGAGACCGAGGTCACTGGGGACGAACTTGACACTGACAAACCCCCCTCAGTTGAAGCACGATGGACACGCAGCAATTACCAGTCACTGTAATCCATGTGGAGACACCCTGAGCTCAGCCCACCACCAGCTGGAAGGTCCAGGCTACCCCTGCACCCCTCTCCTGCAGGGCAGGTCCTTTGGGATTTGGGTTTGTAGAGACCTGGGTACAAGCCCTGCCCCATGCTTGGCTCTCCTCACAAACCCAGGGACAGCCCGGTGTCCGGTGAGCTGCCCGGTGTCCGGTGAGCTGCCCGGTGCCCGGGGAGCTGCCCTGGCCCCACCACCACTCACCGACTTGGCGAGTATGAGAGCATCGCTCATGAGGTCGATGAGAGGCGTCTTGGTGTGAACGTTGTAGAAGGAGTAAGCAGCTTTCAGGCTTTTGTGAGTCGGGTGGTTCATGATGGTGGAGGGCAGCGTGTAGAAGCTCAGGAAGTCTGTCACCTCCCCCGGGGCGCTCTGGAAGCCAGAATCAGAGAATTGTTTGGTTGGAAAAGACCTTTGAGATCATTGAGTCCAACCATACCTGTCCACTGCTAAACCAGATCTCTGAGC